CCCCTCCTCTTCACCTTCTCCCAGCCTTCTGCCTTGCTTTCGAAGCCCCTTAAGCCTCTGATCACGTTGTTGTCTTCTACTGTCCCAACCTCCTATAACCTTCTCACAGCCTTTTGCCTAGCTATCGCAGCCCTGTAAGCCCCCGGTCACCCATTTGTCCTCTACTGTCCCAACCACCTGTAACCTTCTCTCAACCTTCTGCCTTACTACCACAGCCCCATAAGCACCTCGCCTTGCTGTCCATTGCTGTTACAGTCACCTGATCTGTATCCCTGCATTCTCGCTGCTTTTCTAGCACTTCCCCGACACTGCAATTGCCATTCCAGCCACCCAAGACCAATCCCCACGCCGCCTCATTGTTGTCCTAACCGCCAGAACCACCTACCCGCAACCAAACTGCTGTACCCGCCGCCCATCACCGCTCCTTGCCATTCTTTCTTTGCTCCCCAATCCACCCACCGACTTGCTACAGCTTTTCCAAGGCCCCATCAGTCACCACCGCCACCTTAGATCTACCCTAGTTAAGTGTTTCTGTCAATGTCTATTGCTATTTCAAATTTTTGGGTCTCGTGTTGTTGTATTTTTTCTTTCAAGTGTGCAAGTTGTAATTGCCTATTTGTTTTCAGTAATAATATTTGTTTTTCCTAAGGTGATTTTGGCTAACTCCTATATCACAATTCTTATGTATTTACATATCTAACACCTAAACTAATTTTTACATTTATGCCACCTTACCTATGCATGAAAATAAGCATTTCTCTCTTAAAAAGTCAAAATAGTGGTATTTTTATGTGATATGAAAGATTTGGGTGGTATAAATGTAAAAAATAGAGTTTAGGTGTTAAACTTGTAAAAACATAAGAATTGGGTCGTATGTTTGTAAACACCACTTTTTTTTTTTGTACTTATTGTCTCGTAGTGTTCTTGCTAATTCACAATTTTTCATGCCCTATAGCTCTGATCGAGTCTGATGCAGAAGGAATAGGCGGGAGTGGCTTTGTAGAATGCATTAGGGAACATATTCATTCGGTAATTTCATCCGGGGTCTCTGTAAACTTTAACTGGAACTTGGATGGAATATTATCTAATCAGTTATATTTTTAGGGATGGCAATGCCGATTAACTGATGAGCAGTTCATAGCTGTTAAAGAACTGGTGAGTTCTGTTGAGTTTTCTGAGGAAATGATTTGTTGATTTTGCAATTCTTTCTGATCTATGTTAGCGCAATTTTGGTTTTAGGTTGTTAAATAAATAGAAGATTTGCGTACATAGCACTCAATTCCTATTTATTTACAAATCAAAGACCTAAACTTTAATTTTTACATGCATACCATTTTACCTTTTTAAAAATTAAAATGTTGGCATTATTTACGTGATATGAAATTTTTGGCTTGTATTAATGTAAAAATCACAGTTTAGGTGTTGGATATGTATATTCATAAGAATTGGGCGGTATGTCTGTAAATGCCCCAATTTAATATTAGTGCTAGCCTTTTAATTATTTTTGTTGTTCATTTAGTTGTTTACATGTACAGCTTAAAACTGCCATCAATCGTGCTATCTCTCGTAATGACATGGCCACTGTGAGGGATGCTCTTGAAGTATCAGCTGAGATGTACAGAAGAGATCCCAATAGTGTTCCTGATTACATTCAACGTCATCTTCTTTCTCTTGCCGTATGGGAGGATTTGCGGTATGAAATTCTTGGCATAATAGTTTTTTTGAGCTTTATTTTAACTCTTAGCTAATTTACATTTGTTTACTTAAATTTTATGCATCTTATTTCCTTGCTCAAGTAAAACCGGCTTTATTTGTAGCAAAAGGGATTAGTTAGAAAGCCAATAATATGAAGAATAGTTAGCATTACAAAGCGAAGAATTGGTAGCTGGTTCATCCTGATTTAGTCCAATTTAAAATTTCAAACGTGATATCCATTCTAGCCAATCTTTATTCAGTTAGAAGATTGAATGATAAAAATTAGAAATATTTACAGACATACCATTCAATTCTTATGTTTAACATATCTAACCCTTAAACTTCAATTTTTACGTACATGCTACCTTCCCCATGCTGGTATAAATGTAAATATTGAAGCTTAGGTGTTAGATATGTAATATAAGAATTGAGTGGTATGTATATAAATGCTCCTAAGAATTTATTGTGATCCTTTTTTTCAGGAATGTTGGCGCCAAGGCACATATCTAATGTAGACAGGTTTTGAACCCATCGCCTAGACAACAAAATTCAATTTCTTTACATCCAAACTATAGCCGGCACCCATAATTTTTCAAATTTTAAAATGCCACCATTGACCTTCATCTACTTCTCACGATCAATTAAAAAATAAAAGTTAAGTAGCCTTTTTTAGCTGCCTGTCACTGATGCACAAATCATTTGGCTGCTAGTTGAACGGTTGATGTTCTATAGGTCATCAAATCATTTAGAAATGATGCTTTCAGCGTATTCATGACAATGTGGTTGTGTAAACAAGTTTATATACATTTATATATTTGAAATATCACTGTTTTTTCATGTTTTCCGATAAGTTCAATCTTTGGGGCAACATTGAGTGCTGGACTTAGTCATTACATAGCTTGAAATTATTTCAAATGGTTTTTGGCTGATGCATGTAAGTTTCTGATAACAGAAGAAAAATTAATCATAAAATCTATGTATCCTATATTATAAAATAAACTGTTATAAACAATACCTTAAAATATAGGGCATTTATTGACAGAGTAATATGATTATATGATTTAAAATAATACAGAAAACATGTAAAACCTGGGCAATAACCTTTTGTATTTTTCAAAATTTTTCAATAAAATAAATAAACATGGGAATAGCTAACAGAAACTAATGCAATTATTATTATTATTATTGTTATTATTTTCATATAAAAGTCTAAGAACCATCTTTTTTTCGAGCAGATATCTTTTATGCTTTGCTGAAACGGTCTACAGTTTAATGAAGGCCAAAGTTTTATCCATGCATAATTTGCAAACATTTTAAGTGAAGATGCATCTAAAACTTATTGAAGTTAGTATCCTGAAGTGTTTTATATTTTTCATAGGAATTTAGAGGTCAAGTTAGAGAATGGTGTCACTTTTTTTTTATTAATATTTTCCTCCATATTTTTACTTTGGAGTAAAAAAACAGAGAATATTAATACTCTTGACAATGCAAGCGTGTTTTAATATTTAATTAAACTCAGCAATACAATCAGCAAAACTAATGAGTGAACAAAGGGTATGCTTCTATACGCCGTGCTAAAAGAAAAGCATTAAATAGTAACATTACAACAATTAATGAGGAATTGTTATAAGAATCTATTTCCTAATTTTATTTCCGAGCAGTCTATGGTTTATAGGAATCTAAAGGACAGCTTCCGCATTGAGGTTCGATCTTGTAGCGAGAATTTAAGAAATTCTAGGTTTAGACTACGTAATCTCTAGGTTCTGTAAACATTTCTGCAACCTGCAAGGAATTGAAGTGGGCATATTATAAGTAGATTACAAATTTTTAAAAAATAACTCACCAAAGATTAATTGGGAAAACAGAGCGCCAGATTTAAGGCTTCGTTCAGGGCTTCAACACTAGCTGAAATTTGATGATAACAGTTGTAGTAATTGAAACTTGAAACGTGTTTGGTATATATCTGCCAGCCACCCCTTTTTCTAATTATAAAACAGGGCAAAATCAGCTGAACTATTCTTGATCAAGGATTAAGAGGTTAAATTAGAACATGGTATCGACAGATAACCTGAAAGAAATTAAAACAAATCTCATTTGATGTTTATCTTGAATCAGAATTCAAGACCCTGAAGGAGAAACTCTGATTCCGGCCCTTGTGTGTTACAGTGTTAGTGAACAAATTCTTGTCCTGCCCTGACCCAGGAGCTCAGGGCTCAAAATTTATGCTCCGGGGGAATAGCTATTGAGTAGAGACCCTGAAAATAACCCTGCATTCCTCTCTTGTGCTTTCTTTCCTATTATCCTTCATTCATTTTTAGTCCTTACTTATATATATGTTGTTTTAGGGTTTGGAAGTCAGCTTTTTGTGTGTTTGCTATTGGGACAGGCGCCGCATCTTTTTTTCCCTTTGAGAGCTGTATCCTAGAAATTCAAGTGGTGCTTCAGTTGCATCCTTGTTTCCTGGTGGTAACTATATTTCTTACCCCTTCCTACATCCCTCTTGCTTTATTACCACGTCTTCCTCTTCGTTGTTGCCGCCCCAACAGCAGTCCCATTGCTGTTTTCTTGTAGTTCCTCGCCATCGAGCCGTCCTTCTCGCTGCCGCAACCCTTGGATAATCTCTCTTTAGCTGTCCCGCTGTTCCCACACCTTCACCATCGCTGCTGCTGTCATTCCTGTTTGCTGTTGCCACCCGGAAACATCCTTCCGGACTGTTTTCTGTTGTTTCAGCCATCCAGCCAGTTGTCTTGTCCCTTATTCCAGCTTACTGTCATTGCCGCAACGCCTCCACCTTGTTATTTTACTGCTGTCCAGCTGCCCCAAACAGCCAACTGCTGCTGCTTGGGCTGCCCCTCCTTGCTGCCCTGCTGCTCCAACCACCCATGCCGCTCTTGCTTCACAACCCAGAAACCCCTTCTCTACCTTTCCGCTGCCTCTCAAGACCCTCTTAACCATCACCTCTACACACGGGATCCGCCCTAACTTGAGTTTGCGTGTTGTATGTGTTGTATTTTCCCTTTCAAGTGTGTTTAGTTGTAACTGCCTATTGTTTCCGGTTATAATATTTGCTTTTCCTAATATGATTTGGGTTAACTCTGACATCATCCCCACTACAGGTTAAGCTAGCAACCTGAATGCCTGAAAGTTGGAAGAATAAATTGTGTCTGTCATTTGGAAGGCTGGAATTCATGGCAAACCTGGGTTGTTCCCAAATCTCGGAAGCTGGGGCAATGCTTATTGTCAAAGCAGAAGGGAATAGGAGGGCAGTCTTAAACCCCAGTATGGTTGCCTCCACCCCACTCCACCAAAACAAGTATAAATCCACCCTAAAGATCGGAAATTCCTTCTCTCAAATAGGATAAACCTGAGACAAAACTCACAAAAGACCTGCTAGTTCATCTAAAGTATAGAGATTTAAAAGAAACTTCTATTTCTCTCAGGATCCCACCCCAATTTACTAAACTAATTCTCTGAAGAAATAATAAAAAAAGGTTTTGATTATTAATTTATCATTGTTATTTTTTATTAATAGAAGTAGCCCTGCTGTCTTTAACTATGTCAACGGTTGTGTTTATTCTTAATGCCCAGCCAAGATTGTTTTGGGTTTTGGTAAAATGTCAATCAACGATACATGATTCACACAATTTGAGGTTGCTTCAAGACAATTTGATGGGAAATTCTTGCTCACTATTGCAAATAGATATGGCAAAGGGTTAATGAGGTGAAGTCCTCCATCCTTTCCAGTAAAAATGCTCTTCAGTGGACGAAAAACATTGTAGCTAGATTTTTAGCCTACAAGAACGTTGATCAAATTGATTAGCTGAGTGTCAAGTTAGCTCTAAGAAAACTCAAGGAATCTGACTTCACCAAGCTCATTAGTAATGTTAACAAAATTCAAGCATGGGGAACCGGCACCTCTCGCTTGCAGGGAGAATTACCTTGCGGATATCCCTTCTTCCCATGTCCATGTTTCAAGTGACAAATTTTGAACCTCCAAAAACTGTTCTTCATGGCATTGAAAGAGAGTGCGGAAAATTCTAATGCGGGAGTAAATGTGCAAGCCCACCTTGGCGGTTGGCTTGGGCTTTCATGCTTCTGACCAGTGGACAGGTGCCTTACGGGCTGTGGTCAATTGGGAATTTCTCAATAAGCCGAATCAATTAGCTTTCAAGTGTATGGCCAAGAAATATGGGAGAAATCCCTAAAGCTCTACTCGGTCTAGAACAATTTCTATAGGTTGGAAAATTATTGTGAATGGGGTCTTTGGCCTTTCAAATATAATTAGATGGAAGAATGGCCATGGGAAGGACGTTATTCTTTATGAACAGATTTTGCTTTTGGACCTTCCTTTCTCTCGATGGCCCATTTTTATTAGTCCACTGGAAGCTATTGGAATTCAAGTAGCTACTCTTATATGAGAGGGACGCTGAGATGTTGTTGCCCTTCAGAATTTTTTTGGAGATGCTCTTGTTCAATTAATTTTACAGCTGCAACCTTTGGGAGCCCACTGGAAGACATGCCTTCAATTTTTAAGGTTCATTTCGGGTAGAACTATTACCTCGTTGGCATATGACAGACTTTCCCAAGATTTACCGACTGACTATACTTGCTCAATAAGCTTCGACTTCAACCATGGATACATTGTTTTTTTGGTGTGGGTTTTCATTCAAGGTATACCACTAATGCTTGGCTCTGTGGGTGGCGGATTGGGGACGGTCTGGATTGCCTTTAAGGGTGTCCAGATATTGAAGATATCAATCATGTTATAGCCAAGTGTAAAGTGCTAAAGGAGTTCTTTTTTGTTTTTCATAAATGGGGCATTCTCTTTAAAATCTGGAAGATATTATCAAAGCCTTTAAAGACCTACCACGTGCCAATGTTTCCATTGGGAGGCTCTACTGTTTCAGTGTTTATCATTCTTGGTATGGTCGAAATGCGAAGAAACATGGGCATCTGATGTGCTCAGCCACGATTATGGTGGCTACGATCTTGGATTCCTTCACCATTATCTTTGATCAACCCATCCAATAGCAAAGGGGAACTAATCAGCCGAATAGGCTATCTTTACAGCTTCCTTGGTGCCCCCCCTCCCCCCCACGGCTGGTTGGATTAAAGCTAATTTTGATGGCGCTCGTGTTGCCAATAATCTTGTCGGGGTTGTCATGGTGATCCTTGATGAAGCGGGGAGGATCATTCTTGCAGCTGGAAGGAATCTCCTACATCGGGACAGCTCACAAGTCGAATATGAAGCGGTTCTATTTTTTTGGCTCTTTTCTACAAGTTTGGATTTTTGAAACTAAGGGGATCATCATTGAGGGGGATAATGAAACGATCATTAATATGTTTCTGGAAAAGCTTGAAGGCTAAGGTTTGGCAACAACAACTTTGAGAGTGAGTGTGATACAACTTTTTTTCTCAGTTTAGAGAAGTTCTTTTTGTTTTTACTCATAAAGAATGTAACAAAAATGCTCTTTTTTGTTCTCGGTTTGCTTTGGATAGATCTTTTCTTTGGGATGCTTGCTCTTGTGCCCCCGTTTTTTTTTGTGTGGTGGCGGACAACTCCAACCATACTGCTTCTTTTATGTAGCTTTTATTGCTCTCTTTTGTACTTTTTGATTTACTTTAATGTAAAATGCACACCCCTTAAAAAAAATGTTGACAATGTAAGGAGGATCTGCATATGATTTTTGTTGATTTGAAAGTGTCGGGAGAGGCCCACAGAGCTGTTCCACCGAGATGATGGTTATCTGTTTCATCTTATGGTTGGTGGGAAAAGTAAATTTAGGGGGGGTGAAGATACGTTTGGGTACGGCGGATGTTAGAAACCTTAGGGTAAGACTAGAGTTAGGCTTAGCTTTAATATCAAATGATATCGGAGTTAACCCAAACAACAATCAAAAAGTTAATATTATTTTTGAAACTCAAATATGGACTTAAAAACTTCCAACCGAAACAGGAAATAACAATAACACGATACCATAAATATAAAGTAGAAACTGGCACCACATAAACACTCAATGAGGGGGAATCCTGGGATGTTGGTGGTGGTGGTGGTGGTCGGAATGGGTTTGAAAGGTGGCGAGGGGTGGAAAAGATGGTTGACAAACAAAAAACAACACGACAACAGTTTTCCCAGGACCAGACAACAAGTAAACTGTCGGGGGACAATGTGTGAGAGCTGGTCGGGTTGAGGGCAGCAAGGGGAAAGGGAAGAAACAGTGGCGGCTACAACGAGGACATGGTCGGAAGCTCGCCGGTGGTGGAAAAACCAGTGGGGCAGACTGCAAGGAAGGCTGGGAAGGGCCAACAATCGATTGGGAGGGTTGTGTGGGTTGTTAGGGATGATGGCAGTAAGGTTCGCAGCTGGCAGGGGGTGATGGCAGCAGTTGGTCGCTGGAGGGAGGAACTGGGAAATAGTTTGGGAACGAATAGCACCACCTCAGAATCAGTTACAATCGAAACATTTTCTCGTCTTTGGATACAACCCTCTGAGGGGAAAACTGGATGTTAATTGTTGTCCTGACAAAAATTTAAGAAAAAAATGTCCTAACACAACAAACAACACCTAAATAGACCTAGGGTAAAGAGCCCCCAATAGAAGGCAACAATTACTTGGAAGGACTGATTGGTCCCTCCTTTGCCTGGACCAAATCAGTATTGTGTCGCTCGTGATGTTCGTCGCGATTGGAGCGCAAACAATGCCTCGCAGCAGGTTTATTAGTAATGATGCAGATCCAGATGTGTTGATCTTTGTTCGATGCACATACCCTAGCTTTGAAGATGAAGAAATAACAACATCATTAGGTGATCGCCGGTCCTTATAGATAGTGTTCAACCCCATAATCAGGTAGCAAGAGTACACCCGGTGGAGCATCACAGTCGATCTGATCAAAGAAGAAATGAGTTTAGAGTGGAGAAAAGGTAGAGCCCATTAACACTACCAAATTTTATCACGGCTAGAAAGTGCTTCAAGTGTCATGTTTTTGGGCACATTGCATCAGATTGCTCAAACAAAAGGATGATTTTATTCATGGAGCAAGGAGTCGTTGAAAGCATAGATAATAACACTGGAGGCACTGAAGAATGTGAGGACGCAAAGGAGGAGTATTAGTTTCCAATGGATGAGGGAGATATGTTAGTATTCTGACGCGTCAGAATGAGTTGATGAGAGAAGCGCCACCAGGATTAACATTGGTTGTCCTAGGTTACAGTGAGTCTAAGGAGCTGATACGATTTAGAGAGGTCCATCATCTTTTCACTCTCGGTAGAAATGAGAAATTTTTTTAGTGATTTTTGGAAGACTATGGAATGAACTACATACTAAGTTCTAGTTTAGTTCAACAACACACTCATAGACAAGTGGTCAGATAGGAGTGGTAAACCACAGTTGTGAAAATCTTAGGTGTTGTGGAAAAGATTATTTGACTTTGGGATCCAGATCCTTTCGAAGAAGAGGGTGAATCCTCTCGTAGACGGAAAGAATGATGCAAAACATCCCACGAAGTTGCGAGATCGCAGAATCTTGCAATCTTGTTTGGGGGAATTCTGCAATACCATCTAAGCGACAATTTTTGTGATCACGAGCGCGCAGAATCGCACAATCTCAACCCGATTTTTGATTTTAGCCCATTTTTTTTTCTGATTTCTTTCCTAATTTATTATTTCTAGTTAGGATATTTTCTCTTACAAACTTTTTTATGCTTTTTCTTTTCCATTTCTGAGACTTTTACTATTATTATTGTGTTTTGGGTTTTTTTTTTCTCTTTTTTATAATCTCCAAAGTGATGTATCATTTTCTTTTGGCAACTCGTTTATTTGTATCTTGCTCAACCAGTAATGAAATCTCCTTGCTTTCCGTACATCATCATTTCAGAGTTTTCTTTTCTATTTTTAGTTGGGACAGTCACCGAACGATGCTTATCCTCATCCAAAACGCCGTCGACCTCGCATATTTTTATTACCTTACTTTCCCACAACTACTTTGCCACTAAATCCCCTTTCTAAACACCTTATAGGAGCCCTTGAACGGTATCATCATATGTCCAGTAAGATATTTATTAACTTGAACATATTTGTTACTTGTAACAACCAGAAACCAAGCTCCATGTACACTCACTTCAATTTGAAGTTTGAATTTTTTTTATATTTGTAATTATTGGAATAAAACTGTGGTTCTCTATTTTGGTGTGGAAAGGAAAATAGTCTGATGACACCATTACCTCAGAGCCTCCTTGATCATTCATCTTTCCCTTGATGCTTTTTATGATTTCCAAATTGTAGAAAATGATGTTTCATCGTAATGTTTAATGATTGTGAAATTTACATGCTTATTATCCTGGTCACCATTTATCTTTCATCATTCAATTTTTTTAAAATGCTATTTGGATTTCTTATTGGTTTGAACATGTAAAATCTACAACGGTTTTGCTTAAATAAGTTTTATGGTAATATTTGCACATTGCACCATTGTATTTGACTTTTTTAAATGATAACTCCTGCTGTTTGACTATTCTTTTGACATAAAGATTGACTAATAATTTGTACTTTGTGAGATATTTATTTTTATTTAGTGGCTAGCACTGACATGACAACTTATATTTGGCTTTCTACATAAGGATATATGGGAAGCCTTACAATGGAATTCCAAGGTCTCTTATTTTCTTCTGCTGTTCAATTATTTTGCAGCTTCTGGGATAATTATTTTGAATACCTGATGGAGCGTTCTTCTAATAAGTAACTCCCCTCTCTTTCTCATTATTACTTAATTGAACCTTATATTCATCTCTTTTGTTATTACTAGCATCTACTAATTAGTTTAACTTAAATATTTGGCATGTTTAATTCATTGAACTCTTCCCCAAATCAATATTATGAGAATCTTTTTTCTATAGAAGATTCTACATTGTAGAGTTCTGATTCCATAAATTCCAGCCATGAGTAACTTGGTGATAAATTGAACCACAAACCTGGTATGATTCATTTTAAACATAAAAGATAAGCTATCTGGTTAGCCAGTTTTTTTGGGTTCTGCTTGATTCATTATTGCCTTTGCTTTTCTAGGTGGAGTTCCTCTGTTATCTTATTCCAATTATAGAATTTTAACACCCTTGCAATAGCCCTTCTTGAGCCATTTTCTTTATATTTGCGATTGGATTTGTACTGCTGGTTGCTAGAAACGTGTGCTGGTTGCTAGAAACGTGACATCTCTTTTATAAGTAGTGGACAGGGCCACCCTCTTCCGGAAACCCATTACACCTCTCATCTCTGTTTTTTGCACTAGCATCATGTCTATCTTACAAATTGTGGTGTTTCATGAAAATTTTATTTGCATGGTATGATGTGTTGATATTGAAAACTGAATAACTTACATAAAATAAAGAAACAATTTTATAAAAAAAATGTTTATTCCCATGTTTTCTTAAGTACATTTGTATTTCAATTTGATTAGGAAAAATTGATGGCAGTTAATATACTTAATTAAGATAAAAAAATGAATTTAAACATAGAATGATATTTAATAATCATATTTAATTTTACTTTATATAAATGGTAGAAAATGAGGAAAACCGCGAGAATATTATATGATGATGGAGTTTGTAACCCAGATTTGCCAAACTTGTTTTCTTAAACAACTGTTTAAGATGTTAATAAAAGAAATCTTGAGATATCTGTGGTGTCGGGCATTTAGTAAATAGATTTGTTGTCTGGCGCTTCCAGAAAAGAAAAAAATATTATGTTAGACTAAGTAATTTAAAAAATAATATGAAAGTTAGGATAAATTTGATATATGGTGACATTAGAAGGGTAGATTTGAAAAGCTCAAAATATTTTTCACCGCCTCTAGATTTATATAATATATACCGTGAAGCACCCCTTGGAAGGCATTGGAAAAATTGTTATTATGAATAATTAATGAAAATGATGATTATTTCCCCTAAATTATTAAAGTAATTAAGTATGAGCATTATATAAAATTTACTGTTAAACAAAAGTATTATACACTGATGAAATCGCTGATGCAAACTAAAGCCAAATAATTAAGGGTGTATAGCTCAGTAATTCATTATTTACCTAAAGGGTACAATATTTTTTATATGATTTTGTTATGCAATTTATTTCAAAAAATAAAATCAATTTTAAATTGCCCTATAAAATTTTTTTCCTAAGTCAAACTCTCTTTAAATTTCTAATGTAATTATAGTTATAAATATAATTCATAGCATTTATTGATTTATACTCTAGTAGTCAAAATTTTATTGTAATTTATAGACATTGTAGAACTATTTTTCATTATTCTTATCAGAATATGTGTGTTTGTATGTGTAATCATTTAATTTATTAACATATTAGCAATTAACATTATCAACATTCTAGCAAAGTAATAATTAATAAATTGTGCAAAATACGAAATAATATTTTAACATCATAACATTAAATCATCAAAATAATATAGGTTATACAAACATTAACTATCAAATTAAACTAAAATTTTAGTTTAAAATACTAAAATATAATTACATTCAATATAAGTTCAACATAAGTCTCTCTATCCTCTACTTGAGAATGAAATAGGCAATCATTGTTAGAATTTTTAAATTCAAAAGTCATCTTCACTGTCATCACTCAATGAGTTTTCATTTAAATCATTAATATAATGAACTTCTTTTTCCCCTACCTCATCCTGAGCTGTATTCACATTCTCTCATTTCTCCTCTTCTTAAATCTCAATCTTTTTTTTCTCTTTCCTAATAAGTAATAGTCAATAATTATTAAATTTTAAATAATGATTATATTGATAATCACAATTTCAAAGACAATTTTTTTTGGGCTATCTTTTCTGTTTATTATCCATCTCTCTCTCTCTCTCTCTCTCTCTCTCTCTCTCTGCTATCTAAACTTTTAAAAGGTGAAATACACCTTTTTATGCATAGGTAAGGTGGCATATTCGTAAAGAAATGAAGTTTAGGTCTTAGACATGTAAATACATAAGAATTGTGTATTATGTATGTAATGTCTGATTGTTATCTTCTTTGACACATGCTTATGCTGAGTGGTTTACTTTGCTTTCAGGATGACTAACTATGTGACTCTAGTTACCGCACAACTTGTTGTTATTGCAACTCACATGGTACGTACTACTACTGTTGCCCAGCGAAGTGTTCTGCTTTGTAATGTTTTAGTTCTTTTTTACTATTTTATTAATTCTTTGAACTTTCTCATTTGTTTCGAAGGCTGGGCTTGGGCTTCCAGATGGTGAATCTTGGAACATAATCGAAACAATCGCTGGGAAAAATAACCTTGGTTACAAACAGCTTGTATGTTGATAAGTTCTTATTACAGCAAAAGCTATGTTTGCTAAAGCTTTTGGCTTCTTAGGAGTGGCAGCTTTTTTTGGCAGTTTCTCTATAAGTTTGTATGGACTGATGTATTGAGAAATGAGCCAAAATGGCCATCTGACTCTTTTTAAGGAGCTATTTAGTCCAGAGCTTAAAAAGTCTCAATTTAGTCCCCATACTCCTTTATTGGGGGCTTAAATTATCCTTGATGGCGTCTATTTTTACTCATATTAAAAGTGTCTGGGGATTAATTTGATATTTTTAAGACTCTGGGACTAATGACCCCATGTAAGTTGTCAGGAGACTATTTTGACACTTCTGACATTACCAAAGCCTACAACACCCATTAGGGGGAAATAGTTACCAAACAAAGCCTCAGCTCATCCTAAGCTGGTTAGTTATATTCTATTGATGTACTGATATCAACAAATTCCAGATTAAACTCAGAGGGTTTTTGTCACATATTCATCAACTCCGAGTTGGTTACTGGGGACTTTCAGTTTGGAAGTCTCAGGCACCATCCTATGGGTTGCCATCTCCGCGCCCGCATGATTCATATGATGAAAGTCAACAACAAGGTGAAGGTTCAGGTGTTGGTCGAAGTTGGGTGCAGAGTATGTTTAGCAGAGACCGAAGCCTAAGGGCTAATTCTTTTGCTCGCGTTCGTAAATGGGCTTCTGATAGTGATACTTCAGGTACTCCCAAGCTGTATTCTATTGAAAGAATATAGGAAAATTTACATAAGTAGCACCCAATTCTTATATATTTACATGTCTAACACCTAAACATTACTTTTTTACATTTATACCACCCAAATCTTGCATGTCACATGAAAAATGCCACCATTTTAAATTTTAGAAAGTGAAATGCTCCTTGTCATGTATGGTGGTATGCATGTTAAAATTGAAGTTTGGGCGTTAGATATGTAATTACATAAAATTGAGTAGTACGTGTGTAAATCTTTCAAGAATTTATCACCTCACTCAAGATGTTCTTTCCTTGTTGATTCAATTTGTACAACTTTGTAATAAACATTCTACATTATTCATTGGAGTTTTCAGTTTTCAATTTTTCTTTGGTATTGCTTAGTGATATATTTTCCCATGATAACTTGAAGAACATTATTTCCACTCCTATGCAGAGCTCCCTGGTACAGAACAGAAGAAAATTCAATCAAGTGTGCGCATGTTAAGAGGCCATTCAGGTGCTATTACTGCTTTGCATTGTGTTACAAGAAGGGAGGTTTGGGATCTTGTAGGTGATCGTGAAGATGCTGGTTTCTTCATCAGTGGAAGTGTTGATTGCACGGTCAGCTTTGTATATTTATTTCATTGCATCTTTCATTGCAATTTTTTATAGAATCATTTTAAATTTACATCGTCATTTAAACATGGTGTTTTTATTCGACTGCAAACTGCATTGTTTTTTGACTACATTGCAATTCAACACGGGATACACATCTAAATGCCTCACTGATAATTGTATCTCTCTTTTTTTAGGGGCATTTACATACATACCGCCAACTCTTATGGATTTACATACTAACACCTAAACTTTGATTTTTATTAATACCGCCCAAACCTTCTATCACATAAATAATGCCACTATTTTACCTATTAAAACGTAAAATATACTTTTTTATGCATAGGTAAAGTTGCGTATAAAAAAAATTGAAGTTTAGGTTAGATATGTAATGACGTAGGAATTGAGTGGTATGTATGTAAATCTTTATTTTATTTGATGGAAATGACACCGGAATAATGCTTAAGAGCCACTAAAATAATTAATTTGTACACCCAACTGTTCTAAACTATAAATGGTTATTAAATGGCTTGGAGATCTTAGAAACATGTTAAAAAAACATTAAACAGATTTACAATATTTCTACAAATGATAAAATAATGTGAATTGAAATAAAGAGCACGAGGAATTGGTGTAATAAACATGACACAGTTTCTCTGTTTTTGAGGTTGATCTGGTCCTGTTTCTGTATAACAACAACAGGGGAGTGGGACTTGACTTGTCTTCAAATGTCAATCGGTCAAGGGGACATGGCTGGTTAAAATTTACTGCCTACCTGTGGCAAAAATAGTAGTGGTTTAAATTTTCAAGAAATTTAAACGCAAAGAAGAAGTAACCAAGTACGGAATGAAGATGTCTAGTTTTACCCCGGAGGTTAGTTCTAAAACCAAACCCAAAGAAGAAGTAACCAAGTACGTTTGTGGAAAAGGAAAAGAGGAACATCACGAAGAAGAAGTGACCAAGTATGGAATGAAGATTGTTTAGTTCTATTCTAAAAGTTAGTTTTGAAATCAATTCATGTTTATGTACATTTGTGAAAAAGGAAAGAGTAATATTTGACGAGAGAGGGTAGTAAGAAGAAGAAGAAGAAGTGACCAAGGAATGAAGATTTATGGTTCTACTCCGGAGGTTAGTTCTAAAATCAATCTGTGTTTATGCATTTGTAGAAAAAAAATCGAAAAACATCTCCCGGGAGATGAAGCAATTCCTGAGACATTGATCCTAGCTATCACCCATGGATGATCCAAGATCATATGGTCATGTTTCGGTTGATTAATTTTATGACCACAGAAGTTGGAGACAATTTATTGCTTTACAGGACAACACGAGATTTGGGAAGCGGCTCGTGAGACATATTCTAGTATCGAAAACATTACAAAATTATTTGAAATTGAGACAAAATGGCATGAGCTCTGACATGTAGAGTTGAGTGTTATTCAATCCTTGAACATACATTCAAGGTACTAGTTGCGGTTAGATATTTATGATGCATATGTATAGAAATGTTCGCAAGAAACTTTGATGTATAAAACAATAGTGGAGAAGAAGATGATGATTAAGTTCTTTTATATCTAAATAAGAACTTAGATGAGGTAAGAGGAAGAATCATGGGAATGAAGCCCCTCCCTACCATTAGGGAAGCCTTTGCTGAAATTAGAAGAGAGGAAAGCAGGAAGAAGCTCATGATGGCAAGAAGAGTCGGTTCATCTAGCACTGAAAGCTCGGCTTTGTACACACATAACTTCTCGCTTGATTCAAAGCCAAAGAAGAATCGGTTGTTGTGTGAACATTGTAAGAAACTCGGCTCACAAAGGACAAGTGTTGAAAATTACATTGAAAATCTGTAGATTGGAAACCTTGACATGGGAGGAAGGACCATGACAGCAAGACTCGTGCTGCTACCTCTACTGAAGGGTTGGCCGACCTTAGTCCCTTCATTAAGGAACAGTTGGAGGTATTGAAGAAGCATCTTACTAGCACGACTGAGCAACCTATCAGCTTGATGATATATGAATACACCATGTCCTCCTATCTTGTTAACATTGAAAGATTTGAATCTTGGGTAATAGATTAAGGTGCTTCTGATCTCATGTCTGGAGACATCCATGCTCTCATCAACCACTAAGAGATCACCAACCACAAATTTGTTAGATTTGCGATGGATCTCACTTCAAAGTTATTGGGAATTAAGATGTGAAGTCTCCAAACATATTCAGCTTTTTTTTGTGCTATATATTCCCAACTAGATTCCAATTTACTTTCAATTAGAAAGCTTAGTCATGACGTGAACTGTATTATAAAATTTTATTGTAACTCTTGTGAATTTGACGTGGTAGATTCGAGGAAGGTGATTGACAATGTTGAACTGCATCAAGATGATCTATACCTGCTCAAGATGAGCTATTCTCTTAACACACAGATGTCTTCTCTGGTATCCTCTTCTCCTGCACCCGAGTCTGTCGTGACCGTGTCTGTTGAAAGTCGAATTTTATTATGATGTTATTGTCTAGGATATCCCAATTTTTATTATGGTGCAAAGTTGTAGCTCAATCTTCTTATTAGTTAAAAAATCAAAGTTTTATCGCTATAAACCTGTCAATTGACGAAGCATATTCATTATGTTTATCCTTCGTCTCAGTGCAACACGTCACGTTCTTTTTCTATCATTCATAGTGGCATTTGGGGATCTTCAAAATTGAAAACCATCAATAGATTCAGATGGTTTATCTCCTTAATTGATGATTACAGTAGAAAGAGTTGGACATTCCTTTTGAAGGAGAAATATAAAACTGCACAATTATTTTTGTTTTTTCATGACATGATTTATATCAATTCTAATGCAAAATTCATATTCTCAAAATTGATAATGCAAATGAATACTTCAATTCAATTCTTGGACTCTAAAATGCAAAGAATGTTATCATTAATGTAAGCATTTGTGTTGAGAATCCACAATGAAATGAGATATCTGAGTGGAAGAATAGGCATTTTCTTGAGATATCTAAGTTTATAATGCTTTTTCACATTATCCAACTGGGGTGATGTAATGCTCGCAACTATCTACCTCATTAATAAAATGCCAATTAGGGTTTTTTGATTCAAAGCACCTCTCCATGTTGTGATGGAAACATACCCTCGTGTTAGAGTCTTCTCATGCATCTTCCTTTAAAAATAATTGGTTGTTTCTTTTGTTCACATTCACCAACCAAACTGCACAAAGTTTGACTCAAAATCTATCAAATGTATCTTTTTTGGTTCTGCTTCTAAGAAATAGGGATACAAGTGTTATTCTTTGATTACTAAAAAATACTATAACTCCATGGATACTATATTCTTTGAAAAATATTCTTACAATCCGAAATTTAAAGTTCATGGGAAGAGTCTGGACGAATATCATATTTGGGACACTACTTTGGATACCCAGAATGAACTAAAGTCACGACAATCTATTTGAATTCCCTCTAACTATCCTACCTTCTGAGTTCCATCATATGACGAAATCCAACATGATAATGGCAACAAGAAAATTCACAAGGAATTTTGTGTGTACAGTAGGAGAAAGAAATTCACTGAGCATGATAAAGATAATATGCAACTACAGGATTGATTACAGCCAAACATGAATCCAAACATCTCTGAAGTTCAAATGGATGTGGAATCCTGTGAAGATTACAGAGAAAGTTGCACAAATTATTCTATTTGGGAGTATATTGCCTATGGAAATTTATCATCACCTTATAAAGTTTTTTTATCTAATTTTGATAGTGTGCAGGTACCCAAGCCTATTCATGAATCACTTCAAAACCCCGAATGAAAAAAGGCAGATTTTATTTTTCATGTTAACTACTTATATAGCATATACTTTTTATAAGCTTACATTATTAAATTTATAAATATTCATTTTTGTTTACATAATATTTAAAAACTAAATTTATTCAATAAAATTCTTGTGAAATAATTTAAAATCTTATAATTAGATTAATATATATATATATATATATATAAAATGTTTTTATGAAGCCCTAGGGCAGATTATATTGAAATAAAAAGGATACAAAAAGTTACATGTGAGGGCCTAATAGATGATGCCCTACTCATACAATAAATGGTACCAAGATATCCCAACAAAAAAGATACAAAAGACTCGAAAACAAAGAAAACATGCAAAAACAAGTCTCTATGGACGAGGCAGTTTAGACCTGCCTCTTCCCTTGGAGCTTGGAGCGGATCCAGATAGCAAACTCTGAAGTGTTGTTCCATTGTCAGGAGTGACCAATATATCATCTATTAAGTTTCCAAGCTGAACAGTTTCCTCAGCCTTCTTCCTCTGCCGAGAAGTGTAAACTTGTCATTCTTCTTCTGAAGACTGTTCAGTCTGATTCGTAGAAGGAAAGGCAGTTGCAGCGATGAGTTCCTGAGTTTGTGTAGGACAGTCTTCCAATACTTGAGATCTTCCCTTCCAATACTTGAGAAACACCTGCCCTCTGAACAGTTAACTGATTGTACATATGTTGATGATGATGAAATTGCGCAAGAATTTTATTTTTATTTTCTAACAACATTGCCATGAAAAAGTGATTGTACATATGTTGCATAGCTTTAGAAGAAGCCTGATTTGGAGTTATTTGATGCACTTCGATGGATTCCAAGTCTGAGGTTATGGAAAATGATCTTATATCCAGCTACCACAAACAATTGACCACATGAATTTGATATGATGGAACAGAGTGTTACGAGGGCGTCTAGTCTAATGGAAAGTTTTGTCTTTTGTACGTCTGAGGACAATTTAGTCTTTTATTATTGTTATTATTCGATATAAATAGTCTTGTTATGTCTAGGGTTAGGTTTATGCATGAGATTGGTTGTGAGTTTTGGGTTTAGGTTTTGGGAGAGATTTCCTATTTCTTGACTTGTTGGAAGTGGGAGATATCGCCTACCTCTCTAACTGTGGGTGCTTATCGTTTGTATTCGTCTTAGTTGTTTGGTTTATTGAAATAAAAATTAGT